GGTGTCGTTTCGATGGTTTTACCAAACCATCGTCCTCAGATGCCAAAAAGAACCACATTTGCTCTTTGGCAGCTGAGGATGATGGCTCGCTAAAGCCATCGAAAATTTGCGTTTATTTTTTTGTTTGACTTCTAAATTAATAGTTTACTAGTTACACACTTGAAAATTAAGGATATAGAACATAAAAGGATATATTTGAAACAAGCTATTCAAAATGTCACTGGCTTGCGGTAGAAAAAATTTGGTTTTATATTATTCAATTGTAAATTAAGCCGCAAAGAGACTTGTACATCTAGTCAATAAAGGAAATGTTTCAAAATTACTTTCTTGTATCTGAGCAGTTACTGTACCGGATCAGTTGCGCACGAAACTTTTAAAATTATTTTCTAAATGGTCAACACTTTTAGCAGAGGGCAAAATCTGCGAAAGCTATAAACACATTGAACAGGTTTCCTTTGAGGTGTTTAAATAAAAGTATAAATAAATAAACAGTTTAAAATGTAAAGAAAAAATTACAAGGAAGTGAAATTAGAATAGTCTGCTATATCGACCAATACCATCATCTGTTTACGAGATAAATCTCTTGTTTGTCAGCCTTTGTATCAGTATTATCTAATATGATGAAAACCACTGCAGATATTAGCTGAAGCAACATGATTGCTTTTTGTAATAGCAAGGTAAAGTTTCTTTGCGATAATATAGCCTACTGACCAATGAATGAATCGCCAATGTCACATTCATAAAATGTTTTGGAAAAATGGTTTAATTAAAGAATCAACACTAAATAATAATTAATTAAACGATTTCTTGAAATACCACAACTTCTTCCGGCTTTTAGATGCAATTTCAGCCAACTGTTGACATTTCGTGTCGTAGCTATCGTGTTAAGATATGCAGTATGACACTAAATATTATGAGAAATTACGAGAACCGTAAGAGATAATTTTACTCAGTGTCCGTTTACTGGATTGGTAAACCGGTTAGCATCATACGACATTTCAAGGAAATAATAGTTAACTTTCTACAGCTAAGTGTTACTTCTAGCAGCAATATGTGAGTGCGAAATTATTACAATAACACTGCAGGTAAACTTAATTTGAGGTTGAAATTATTTAGTATTACATTTTATTATTTGTTTACTTTCCTCCTATTCGTACGACATACTTTCTGCAAGCGACTATTTGTTAACAACTTTGAAAATTGTAGCTTTTTTGAAGCAGATTTGTTTATATTTTATATATATGGGAATATTTTACAAAGTAAAGGATAAAAAAGAATTATATTCATATACATTTTATACATTTATGACGTGTTAAATACAATTATGTTTGTCTGCAGTCTGATATTTGCGTTTGTTATAGATATTTTTAAAATTTCTAGAATTATCTGAAATATTTTTTATTCAAAACATCTGGATATACTTGCATCAACGCAGTTCAAAACTCTTTGTTTTCGAAACTTCAACTTCGAAATTTTTTACGTTTCCCTCTCTTGGTGTAATTAGAACAATTCCTTGACAAGAGGATAAAATCATGATAAGGATATTCATAGTATATGTATTACATAAATTCAATTTTGCGTAAGAAGTTTTCTATGAAATGAATCGCACAAATAAATTTTTCTATTACCGTTTTAAAGCACTTTAAAGTACTTTAATTTGACCACGTGTATTTAAAGTTACAGTATGTGTAGGTTTAGATTACAGTATTAAGGCCATTATCATGCTGAGATGTATCTGCACTCTTTAGATAATGACAAATCCATCAAGGGCTATCTGCCTAAGAGGGGAGGATGCCTTCTTGCAGGAATTGTAAGGGGAAAAGTTTCATGTTCACGTTACACATGCGAAAAATCATGAAAACCTGCTCGCTGTAATTTCAACCTGCTGAAACGTAGCACATGCGTAGCAAATCCTACTATGCACATGTGAAAGCCATATGTCACAGGCATGTAAGGTGACTACTACATATTTAGCATCTCAAAACGTACTAATACCTTTATTATGCACAAAGCAATATATTTCTGAGATTTTGGGAAGGTATGTTCATTGGCTATTAGGACGCGGATGCCAGCATAAAAGAAGTAGTAAAAGTTTAAAACATTCGCGTACTGCAGTGGGGAAAGTGTATCAAGCCTGGAGGTATGAAACAACTTTGAAGATACGTCATGCCAACTGTGGAGACTCACATATGATTGGAATCCAGAGATTATCGATGGCTAAAGCGGTTTACCAGAACTGACCGGTGATCTAGTCTGAATGAGTTACCTTTCAGTATAAACCATAGGTCATCAAGAAGTTCTCCAATACAACCTTTCGGTTGAACAAATGCGAAATGAATTTTAAGACGGTGGAATAACTCATGGTCACTCATCACATGGTGACATCACCGATGCTGATTGCCATGCTTTGGAAAACACCAGTATTTTTTCGATATTAACAACCTAATTCTAGGTGAACGGCAAAATGAGCATAATGGGCATAAATAATTGATTTTTGCTTTATGGAATGAATGGGCAGAATGGCTGTTACTACAGTTGTTACTACAGTACATACATACACTTCCTAAAATACACTTCTCGACACGACTGTCTATGAACCAAAGTACAAAATAATAATCTGAGAAATATTTCTGCAACTGGCTTGGGACAATGATCTGAGATCTGGGACAGTTTAAATGGCTACTTCTTTCTTATCGTAGATGAAATATTCTATGTATGAGAATCATGTTTCTAAATGGCATTAACACCTACTTCAAACTGGCAGTCATTTAGTCTTGATATTAACTTGCTCATGAATGTTTTGAGGAGCAAAAAAATGAATATTTTAAAATACTGCTTTGGTTTCCTGCTCCTTGCGTTAATGTCATTAGGACTGGTCATGAACTAAATAAGATATCTGTCAGTCTTTTTCACAAAACACACCTGCAAGGTTTGTACCAGCAATTATATGATATACTCACCATCAGCGACAGTTCCAACCAGTGCTACTTATGCCAGAAAATTGCATCAGTAATAAAATAAGTAATTCATTAATGTAGTAAAGCAATAACATATTGAAGAACTCAAGTTTATAAGAATTTATGTATTCAAGTGTTAAACTGCAAGAAATGAATGCATACAGGAATTATAATGTACTTACGCATTCAATGTAAACTATAGTACTCAGGTATTTTATGTATCCAAGAATTAATGTATATGTGTGAACAATCGTACTCGTATAATTAAAGTATACAGGTTAATGTATTCACGTACGCAAATGTTTTTATTGCAGTCAAGTATTCAAGTATATAAATAATATTTATATAACATAATTATGTATCTATTGTACCAACGCATTTAAGTACACAAAGAATGCAAATTAAAAATAATTAATGTAAATAGGTTTAAAATATTCAAATGTCTTACCGTAATCAAGCACTCAAGTATATGACTAATGTAGCCATGTACTTAATCATGTATCCAATTAATGCATTTAATTGACGGATAACTTTACTAATTAATGCAACGTGCGCCCAAGAGCATCGCCAGTGCATTCTAACAACTAATGGTTATATATTCATGCAGCTAATGTATTCATGTAATATCATCCAGGACCTTGTTTGTTCATGCAACTTCGTAGAGAAGCAAATAAATTCTCATAACAGGCCTTCGGGGACTCCAGAGAGCTGCGGGTTCTAGATAGTAGAGAGCGTAGGACATATAACTGTTTACGTTGTAGAGGCATTAGGTTATTTTGAATTAGGAGACGTGAAAAATGAACAATGCTCTCACCAGGATTCGAACCTGGACCTCTGGAATATGCGCCGAGTGTGCTACAGTTACACCACGAAGGCATGCAGGAAGGAGGTAGAAAATACCTTATATAATTCCCCTTTTAAAGGGCGACTGAGGGTTAGGGGACCCTGGTGGTAACAAATTATTATCCATCACCCTTTACTTCGGGCGCCACTATAAAGTTATTAGGTTATATTTTTTTATGCTGGAGTCATGAAAAATATGCAATGCTCTCACCGGGACTCGTAGCCTGGACCTATCGAATACGCGCCGAGTGGGCTACCATTACACCATAAGGGCATGCTGGAAGGAGAGAGAAAATATCTTATAACCTTTGTTAGACATCACGTTTTCCCATCCTCGCCACCTGTTGCCTGTGTTTGATTTGGTTTGTTTGATTATGGGAAAATACACGAGGGCTATCTGCTCAAGGGAACGGAGGTTTTCGTGGAGGACTTTCTAAAGAAAGCTAGTTCCTGAAAAGAAGGTTGCTCATGAAGAAAACTGTGAAAATACTCTTAGAGCAGTCCGTTTTCCAGAACTTGAAACGGACTCTAACTTCCAGCGTTCAGCTGCTATACTTCTTGCTCTTTAGTGAGCCCCATTTCATTTGAAATTAAACCAATTGAATGCTTACAAAACTACCTCGATCGACTCATAAGACTGATATATATATACTCTTTCCAGAAATCTACAACATCTTATATCTTTCTAGGTTACACTTACGTTTTCTAAGCGGCTTACTGTGAAAGGGCATTTATAGCTTGTCATAGTGGGTGCACATATATAAATGAAAACATGTTCGCTACGATTAGCTTAAGAATATTGAGCAGTAAACTGGGTTAGATCAAGATGATATATAATTAAGACACAATAACACGCCGAATAAATACTAATTCAGAAGTAAAACAACAAAAATCAGCGTCATATTTACAAAATTTTCACAAGACTAGTTTCGATGGTTTTACCGAACCACCATCCTCAGCTGCAAAACCGCAAAATGTAAAAACCGCAAGATGATATATGTTTTCATGACTGAAAAATACATGACTTCAAATTTGTTTTTTACCGAATTTAATTTAATTTCTTTTAGTTGGAGGATAATATTTTCTAGAACTTTGTATTCTAATCATATTTTCCTATTATGATTAAAAATAAAAATAATCTAATTGCTTGAGCAATGAAAACTGCACTTACTATAATCTTGTCCTTACCAATTCTTTCAGCCCATTCGGAAACACAGGACAAGAAGAAATGCCTTCAGGAATGAAAGCAGGCTCTGGCCAAAGGCTGTCGTTCCGTACGTTATCAGTGAAGCTTACAGTAAGTAATTTATACAATAATATTCTTAGTTTTTTTATGTGATGAATATCGAAGTGCAGTTTTTGTGAAAGAAAAGATGCTCTGTTATTCCGTGGTTTAAGGGAAAAATATCTTCGAAGAAAATTTGCTGTATTTAAAGATAGTTTTAAGAAATTTCCATTTTATAATTCATCTTCAATTATTGTAGATAGCCACGAAGTAGATGTAATAGAAAATGCCATGAGGGATATACATTCGGTCAGCTGCATAAGGTTCAAACGGCGAAAAAATGAAAAGGCATACGTAGAAGTAGTTCGAGAGAAGGGGTAAGTTACGGAATCGATTTTAAAATACTTTCTTTGTTTTGTGTTCAAACAATAATAAATCTGAATACCTGCTTTCCACAAAAACTGTATTTAAGATTATATTCTGTATGATTCGTTATTATTTAAACAAACAATACATTTTGAAGGAGATTATTAAATAACACATTTTAATTTATTCGAAGGTATTTTGATCACTGATTGCTGAGAGATAACCATACCGCTCAGATCCCGTGTAAGGTATAAATGTTTGTGATTGTAGTGTTTTCGTAGAGAGAGGAAGGTACTTCAACTCTGTCAATCCGTAAGTCTTCTCGAAAGTTTGATAACAGGAATGCAGATAGTCTATTAATAATTTTATGCTAAACATTCAGTACTCAGCCTAAAATTTGCGAGGTTGACACCTTGCCAACCAAAGATGTGCATTTGAGTGTTTGCCATCAAATTCTGAGCTCGAATTAACATTCTAACGCCAAGTTTTCGGTTTTATCCGTTTCGTGGTCACTCTCTGTGAGTGTGTCGCTAAAATGATTGTGCAACATTTGGTCTCGTTCATTCGTTCTCCTACCTGTAAGTTCAGATTGGAATTCTAATATTCTTTTCTGCCTCTCAGAGTGGAATGCGACCCTATGTTCTATGGTAATTATTGCTCATTTAGATGAGTACTATCATCCCTCTTAATTTTCAAAAGTAATTTGGAATCACCCTGCATTACATGCCCACCCCTTACCCATTATATATATAAACGTATGTTTGGTTTTTATCGACTAGAGTAAAGAGGAGAAATGCACAATAAGATATTATAGCAGTCCCATATACAAAATTTCAATGTTCGACGGCGAATTGCTTTTGAATTATGCGATGCATACATACACACGTATGTACACTGCGGAAAAAATGGGATAGTTTATATCTCCTTTCTACTGGGCCGATTGACGAAATTCAACTTGCGTTTTTCATGTCTCGAAAGCGCTACTTAGGATATGCATTAGATTTATATATAGCATTGTTCTAATGTAGGTATTTTGACACAAAATCGGATATTTTCTGAAATAACATACCAATTTTTTTCCATATTTCGATTCTACGACTCAAATTAAGCCAAACTAACAAGTTTTGTAAAAATCGCACGAGTAGTTTTTAAAAATTTAGCTCTCAAAATTTTAGCTCCTCAATGTTAATTGAGTTTGATATATATTTATTAATCTCTCTTTTTTTTATTAAGCTTATTTAATTCTTCCTTTCACATTTTGAAATTCAGGTTCATTCCAAATAAAATTCGCCCATTTTTTATGATTATTTTTAAAATTTGTATTTTAAAATAATTTTTATAAATTTTTCGACAAATATTTTGTATTATAACATAACCTATAAAATTTTTAACACCCTCTTAAAGTAGATGTATTTCTAGGCACACCTGCAAAAACTTAGAGTTTTATATTCAAAATTTCCTAAGATATACGTAAATTTACATTTTGGCGCGTTTTGAAATTGGAGGCATTTTATATAAGCGATAATAACAAAAAATGTTATTTAAGCACTTTATTAAAATTATTTGAAAGAATGAACGATGGACCTTTTCCCCTCTCGTGCATCACTGTAAAAAATAAAGGAAAGTAAGCAGGTTACTATAAATTAAGAATTCCGCCAAGTGAATTATTCTTGGCGCAAAGTGGAAAAATTGCACCAATATGAATCTTTAAATTTCTCGATAAATTTCTCACCAAAAATTACAAAATTTAACATCTAGGCATAAATTGAGTTGTAGAATATCTTAAGTCTCGATTTCGAGACATGAAAAACGTAATTTGAATTTCATCAGTCGGCCCAGTAGAACAGGAGATATAGTACTGTGCCCGCCCTTTCTTGGCTCAGCATAAGTGTCTGATAGTAATCCTCGCAGAAGGAATGAATGTCTAATGCACAACACTATAGGGATCGTATAGACTACTATGTCTTCTAATGGCATCATTGGACCGTACTTCTTTGAGAATCAAAATAAACCAGCACTTACAATTAATACCTAGCGATATTGTTCAGTGTCTCGACATTTTCCTTTGGCCACTCTATTAGGTACGGCTTTAATTTAGAAACTTGGTTGGACTAAGATGGTGCTACATGACACATCAAATCAGGCATTCGAAGCTGTTTAGCAATTATTGTATTTCCTAATAAAGTGATTTCAAATTGAAGCAATATTAACTGTACCCCTAACTCGCCAGCTTATTACCTCTTGATTATTTCCTGTGAAGTTACTCTAAAAGTTGTGAAGTTATTCTAAAAGTAAAGTCTACGACAATAATCCAGCTGATGCAAATAAATTAAAGGCAAACATCCAGGCACAAATAAGAATGGTCTCGAGGAAAAGATGTGAACGCGTTATCAATAATTTTCGTTATCGATTTCAAGGGTGCATACAATGCAAAGGACATCATTTAGACAATGCTGTTTTCGGCTCATAAATTTCCATTGTTTGTCGATTACTTCTCATGAATAAATACTCACAGAAATTTTTATTTACACTCATGTTCATAAATTAAGGATAATGCAAAATCAGGCAAAGGAAGAGTTAGAAGCAAAACAAATTTGACTTATTTGTAAAGCTTATTTATTAAACAAAAGGTAAAGACCAAAAAAAGATGCTATGTGTTTGATATTATTAAAAAAATTAGCGATTTTTTCTCCCTGGAGCAAATTACAAAAAAATAATATTTACAAAAAAAAATATATATTACATGGTTGGTATAATTGTTAATACATTGTATGTCTCCCAGACGATGCAATACAGTCCTTACAACGCCTAGGCATGCTGAGTATCAAATTATCGATCTGATCTTGGGGGATATTACATCACTCAAAAAGCAATGCTCTCCGAAGATCCGGTAGACATGTAGGATGAGGTTGACGGGCTGCGACTCGTCGGCCAAGCATATCCCACAAGTGCTCTACTGGATTCAAGTCCGGTGAGAATGCTGGCCAGTCCATACGGGTAATATCCTCCGATTGAAGGCATTCGATTACGATGTTTGCACGGTGAGGACGGGCGTTGTCATCCATAAACACAAATTGTGCGCCCATGGCGCCCCGAAACAAACGTACATGTTGTTCCAGAATGACGTCCCGATAGATTTGGCTTGTCATGGTTCCAATTTGAACATGCAGGTCAGTTCTGGAACCCAGAATAATTCCACCCCAAACGAGCACTCCTGCACCACCGTAACGGTGTCGTTCAATGATGTTTTCTTGGTGGTAACGGCTACCTGGAGCTCTCCATATGAAAGTCCGGCGAGAATCAGACTGCAAGCTGAACCTGGATTCGTCGGAAAACATCACACCAGCCCACTGTTGCGGTGTCCACAATGCATGCTCTCTACTTCAGGCTAACCGCAGGCGACAGTGAGTTGCAGTAAGTAGAACGCATCTGACAGGTCTACGAGCATATAGACCAATCTGCTCTAAGCGTATGTACACGGTCTGCCTTGAAATTGTCGTACCAGTGGCTTAAGATAGCTGACGAGACAGGTGTGAGGCCGCCTGTTTCTTTTGCCAAATACTGGTCCTCATTCGGCGTTGTAACTCTGGGGCGACCTGTGCTGTAACGTCTACTCACATTACCATAATCTTGGAATCGTTGCCAAAGACTGGAGATGAAACTCTGGGCAATTCCAAGTTCGTCTGATACTTCCAGTTGACATTTCAGACGGCCGATAATTCTACCACATAAAATATTATCAAATGCGTCCTTTGTGTCATAACTATTCTCTTATTGTACTGAAATGCTTATAAAGCGCCTGCGAACAATTTTACTTCTTTGCCTGTACTCCTTATATATCACTCTCTTACACTCTCGTCATTGTGACGTACCATCGGTGTCATCTCGTTACTTCCTGAAATTTGCATATGATTCTTGAAGATGTGTGTAGTGATTTTACAGGTGATATATTTATTTTAGAGTTCGATTTCCGCGTGACTCCGAATTATCCTTAATTTATGGACACGGGTGTATTTATACACAAGATCATATTGTTGATACTCTTTTTGGTCATCTGTTATATAATCTTCAGTTTAAAATTCAGGATGTATTCTTATGACAATTTATAGTCCCTATGCTATGAATGTGTAAATAAGGAAACATTTATTTTACTTTTGCAGTTGTCGGGCTGTTGTCGGATACGTCGGTCGTCGGCAGAAATTAACACTTGGCCCGGGATGCGTTTGGATAGCTAGAGTTCTCCATGAACTTTTTCACGTCCTTGGGTTTTTTCATGAACACACAAGGCCGGACAGAGATGATTACGTCATCATACATGAGAACAATATTAAAACAGGTCAGTATGAAAGTGCCTAATTTCTACAAATAATTCTAGTCTTCATGTTGCTGAACCAATTAATTCATATCTTAAATGTCAATAAGCAAACTGATGAATTGGAAACCTTCTGAGTTCATGAAAAAAAGTAAAGACAAGCATTGTCAATAATATTTCTGGAGAATGGATGGAGAAACGACAAAACTACTGGATATACAGAGAGGTCTAAAGAAAACTTCTCCGATAACTTAACCCCTAGCTGCCTATCCACTCGAAATTTCAGATATTGTTAAAACCAATCGAAAAGAAATTTCAGATATTGTTATTTGAAGGTATGCGCTCGAAATTGTGATGATTTAAAACAATAACTCTCTCACGGTTGCAGTTACAGTGAAAACATTTCGAAAGGCAACACCCACTTATTTTAATGCTCAAATTGATCTGCACATTGAAAAACCTTAAATGGCTTGGAAAGATACACGTAAGATGAAAATTGCCGGCGTAAAACATTTGCAAGCAACAGCATTGTAAAAGGCCAATGACAACACAAGAGAGAAAAAAGGAAAAACTGAAATTGGAATTACAAGTTTTCATTGCATACAACGACAACGTTTTTAAGAGTCATTTCCCATAACTTTAAAGCTTAGTCGTCACCGCTATTTCCCGACATCATTAGGCTGAATTTCTGGTTCTGGAGTTATCTGAACCCTAAGGTGTACATATCAAATCCACGAGATTTTTTAGAATTGAAACATGCCATGAAACGTGAAGTTAAACAGATTCTTCCTTCGATATTACGTTCGTCATTATCTTCAACAATTTTCTGCATGTAGTGCGTTATCATCTGTGAAGGTGGGTACTTGGAAAACTTGAAATATCAAAAAAGGTTTTTTCTCCCTCTTCTCTCTTGTGTTGTCATTGGTCCTTTACAATGCTCTTCTTCGCAAATGTTTCCAAATGCATTGATTCCAAGAAACGAATTTGCATATCTTCTTTATTAACTTGTATTTTGACATAAGTACAATTCTATCTATAAACTTATTTATTTACAGCTCAAGTCATTTGATGACTGATTGGTTTTAGCATTTTCATTAGAAAACTTTGTAAATGCGATGATTTAGAAGCTGATGACGAGACAAAAACGAGACTCTAAAAATCATTGTGGCAAATTTAAAGTCTTGAGCAGCACTTTCTAAATATGTGCTAAAAATCATAATGGGCGCAACAAAACGCTAACAATCATTATGGCAGATTTAAATTCTTGAGCAGCACTTTCTTAATATATACTACAAATAGTAATGATCGCAATCTGTGCTCCCGTTTTTGATCATATTGTGCTTTCCCTACATCTTTCATAACACTAAATATTGATAGAGGAAAAAGCAACAAGGCGTAAGTGATCTGACAGCAAAGAGGGCAGAGAGAGAGAAGACGATGTGTCTAAGATGAAACCTGATTCAAAATGATTTTGTTTTGGTTCAGCTTTATTTCGATTGTTTAATTTTAAGTTTCCATTTGTAAACTGGAATTTTACTTGGCTGATGCATTATGTAACAATCTTATGACATGGAATAATTTTGAATTTGTTAGATGTGTGTAGTTGTGCAGGTGATGTATGTGTGTTTCTCTATCAATCTATGTGATAATTTTGTAGAGTATGACACCAATTACTTCTTAGTCATGATAGAGAGGCTTAGAGATGTTGCTGGCATATAGATAGGATGCGTAATAGATATATATATATATCATTTGGAAAACAACAAATATCTAAACATTCTCCTCGCAATTTTATTTCTTGACGAATAATTTCTTAGGACATATATTCTTGGTTTATACATCACTGCGGGTCACTGTATCATCTTTATTTCGAAACGTGATAAGTTGTACATAAGATTGTGAGGCGACAAACACCTGACAATCTTATGTACAACTTATCATGTTTCGAAATAAAGATGATACAGTGAAGCATTGAGACATATGGTCAGCAGGTAAAGAGAGAATAATTGGAATAAAAAGGAATATTTAATGAGCCTCAGCGGCCAGTTTCTTCTTTATTGTGGATCAATACCTGCCGCCAAAGTTCATTCGGAACTCTAATCGTAGTCATTTCAAATGTTTTACATTTTTATAGCTTTGCGCTAAGAAGAGAAGCAGCAAGCAGCAGAGCAATCTATCTAAGCCGAGGCACAGAAAGCAAGTGCGCAGTTATTTAGAGAAAGATTCAGAGAAAGATTTCGGTTTTCAAATTTTTTAGCTCCGAATTAGCTACGTCATTATCGTTATGTAAAAGTTACGTGATATGGATTATTCCAGAAATGAAGCAGTCCAGAAAACGTTATTACTACTTTTAGAATGGGGGAGGAAATTACCAAAACTAAATCAGGAATTAAGGGGCTATTGCTAATTTAAGTTGAATAATTTGATTTACATATTTTTAATGTTACATATACATATAAGAAAGCAAAAACGGTTTAATAGAATAACTGTTAAATTTTATGCAATTTTCATGGAAAACAGCCACAGAGAGGAAAACTTAATAATTCTTCGAATGATAGCGCATGACTCAGTGTATGGTATGCAAGAATCACTATCATTTGTCAGCTGTCTACTATGGTGACCCCTTGATTTTTCTTCACTGGACATTAGACATTTTTGCAAGCTGTTCTGAAAACTAATATTTTTACTTACTGAGATTCGTACATTGTAATGAGAGCTGCGGTTCAGAAATAGGCCATCATTTAAGGAATATGAACTATGCAGCTCCAGAATAAATATATCCAAGAAACCCACGGGTATTGTGCTAAAAGGTTTGCAGAAAAAGTGACCCTTATGAAAGATCTGACTCATCAAGTCATTTCCTCAGGGGAAAAAAAAAAAAAAAAAAAAAAAAAAAAAAAAAAAAAAAACTCATGAAATTATTGAACTTAATTGCTTTGGCACAAAAGAGAGCTTCTCGAAAGGCTTTTGTCCGCAACACCTTTGATTCATTCATTTTTTCATTCAAGTGCTTTTGTAGAAAACTGATATATTACTTAAATGATTATCTTTTATCTCCTAACCTATTTTTATAATAACATTTTCTGCCTGTATGTTTATAATACAGTTTATGGTATGCAATAAAATACCCTTTAAAAATAAATTACATGTATTTGAAACTAACAGAAAACGTACTGAATAATCTCAAGATATTTTATAACATAAAAATACAATACGTGAACACAATATTGCTGCATGAAAGAAGTCCAACTATCTGAATGTTTTTTAAGACTGCAGTAAGTTTTTATGTACTTCAATTTTCAAGTGATATTTGGTCATACCTCGAGCTGCTCTGAAACAGGGATAATGAAGCTATGAAGTACATTTTTCTAGTAAATTAGAAGTCAATTAAATTAGAAGTAAATGAAAAAAACCGCCTTCAATTTCAAGTTTTAAGTATAGTATCACTTTCGGTTATCTGTTTACGAGCAAAATCTAATTCGTTGTTTCAATAAATAAGGTCTGTAATAACGAAATTTTTGATTAAAACTATTAGGTATTATCCGTTCGTTAAAAACTAGTTTCTATAAATTTATGTCAATACAGTTATTTGAACCGTTACTTCATTTTACTAAAACTGTATTTTATTGCGCAGTTGTAAAATACAATTTAATACTTTTCTAATTAAAGAAAGTTAAATGTTTATAATATCTTTAAAATAAATAGTTTGAGTCAAATGCCACGATTTAATTTTCTTCTGTGTCATTTCTATAGTATCTAAAAGTTTAAATTCATTTTGATAGGCCTTATATCCTCACGGTATTTAGATATCCGTAACAACGCTCGTTAATTTTTGAAACCGCAGCTGAATAGTTACTATCGCATGTTCTGGAATCAGTAAGAAGTAAAGCAATATATGTGCTTCGGAATTTGTTAATTTCTTTTATGCCTCGTCCTCATCAATGTTACAAAAGTATAAGTTCATTTTTTGGTAACATGCCTGCATTTCAAGTGTTTTAAAGTCCTGCAAATGAGACTCTGATAGAAAAATCATTCCATTCTACGGCTTGATATAAGTATATATCATGTCTAGATATTAACAGAAACAGCTTTAATATGAGCTGCATTATTTTAAATTAAACTTCTAGTATAGTGATTCTATCCACGAAAATCTATTAAAGGTTCCAAGTAAAGTACTATTTCTCGTTTACCACATACAGCCAAAATCTAACGTATTGTTACGAATTCCGTGCATAAATAAATGATTTTCATGCAATTATATGTGAAACTGTATTTTTCTGTGTAATGTGGCGCGAAACAAATTTTAAGCGAAAGCTATGCCGGAAAAGTAAAAATACAGGGGCACGTGCATTTACACGTGCACGTGCATCCGTTCCAAGTTGCAGCACGTGCATCCGTTCCAAGTTGCTTAGTTATTGTTATTGCATGTTGCTAGTTCCAGGTGAACTGAGATATCGGAATTAGCTTTCTCTTTAGATGCGCTTTGCATTGTGTTGTGTTTAACGTTCTTAGTAGCTTTATGCGTAACTACTGATTGTTCTCTGTGATATGTGAACTCCTGTATGAGTATTTCTGCAGAAAATTCCTGAATTTTGAAGTGTTTATTTTGAATAAATAAATTTCTTAACCTATCATCGGACCTGTGTGCATTCAATCTATTACGAACCGTACGCATGCGACAACATTATTCTTAGTCATGATTGTGTAGCATTATATACGTATATACGAGTTTTAAGTGCCAAAGCTTTAAGTCAAATTGAAGTTTTGGATAAAAACATAATATGTTTTTTCCCCCACAAAAATCTGTTCAGAGTTTCTAGTAAGTTATCACTTCCGAAGTATAAATTTTAAACAGAACCTCAGGTCTTGTTCCCATTGATATAAGCCTTAAATACTAAAATTGGAAAGTTTCAGATTACATTTTAAAATAGCTTTTCATTAAAAGCTATTATGGGCTTTGGTTCTTATATAGTGTCGAGAGAGGATGAGCCAATGTTTCGATTGTTTAAATGTAGATAATTCTT